CCTTAATCGCGGTTGCACTAGGGAATTGTACTAGCACTCGGAACTTGGATCAGAGAGTTGTTATAATACCACTTAAACCGGGGAGTTGTACGGGGGAGTTGTGCTCGGGAGTTGTACCGTGGAGTTGTACTAGTACTGGGGATTGGCGATAGGGCGTTGTTCTAGGGGGCGCAATTTTACCAGCTGTAATATGATACCAGCTGCACTCGAATATTTGCACGGCAGGACAACGTGCTCTCTAGGAACAACTGCGCGATAGGACATGATAGTACCAGTTGTACTCAAGTGCGAGTTGTACGGTAGTCGGAGGGGTTCAGGGGTTCCAACAGCAACGCGCGCGGGGAAGAAGGAAAGAAATCCATGCGCCGCCAGGGGTCCCGGGTTTAACGGGTCGCCGCGAAGGTTGACCCCCCGCGGAAAGAAGAAAAGAAATCCGGCCGGGGGGTTGGGGGGTTGAGGGATGAGTCACGGGGGCGATGGACAGTGGGACAGTGGTGGGGACGGTAGCGGTGGGGACAGTGGTGGGGATAATGGTGGGAACAGGGGGGGGACAGTGGACAGTGGTGGTGACGGTGGTGGTGGGGACAGTGGTGTGGGGACAATGGGAATGAAGTGGAAACAGTGGGACAGTGGAGGGTACAATGGTGGTGGGGACAGTGGTGAAGGCGGCGGCGAGGACGGCGGTGGGACAATGGGACAGAGGTACAGTGGGGACAGTGGTGGGGACAGTGGGGGCAGTGGTGGGAACAGTGGGACAGCTCAGTGGGACAGCGGAGGAGTCAGTGGGACAGTGGGGACAGTGGGGATAGTCGGGCAGTGGTTGGGGCCGTGGAGACAGTGGGGAGAGTGGAACCGTGGTGGGAACAGTTCTGGGGACAGCGGGGACAGTGCGACAGTGGTGGGGCCACTGGCGGGGACAGTAGGGGCGGTGGTGGAACCAGTGGGGACAGCGGTGGTGAGGGCAGTGGTGCTGGGAACACTAGTGGGGGATGTGATGCGGACGGTGGTGGGGACCGGGAGTCGTTTGCTGGCGGTGAGTAAGGGGGGGGGGGGGGGGGGGTTCGAACCGGTAGTGACCCCCCCCGGTTTTCCGGATCCGGAGGGGGGGGGGGGGGGGGGGGGGGAAGGGGTTCGAACCGGTAGTGACCCCCCCCGGTTTTCGAACGGGAGGGGGGGGGGAGGGAAGGGGTTAGGGGAGGGGGGGGTTTTGCCGAGGGAGGGGGGGGGGGGGGGGGAGGGGTTCCAGCAGGGGGGGGGGGGGGGATTTTCGGAGGGGGGGGGGGGAAGACCCCCGGGCTCCAGAGGAAAAGGTTGGCAATTTTCCACAGTAAAGCGGCGGTGGATCACGCTCTCTCCATCACTAGCATCATCATCACCATCATCAAAATCACCACCAACGGCTCCACAATTACCATCATCATCACAATTACCAAGAAACCGAAATCAATGAAGGCTGAAATCAGAATGAACACAATGGTCGGAGACAGGGTAAAATGGAAAACTGTGCGGGTCAGCGACAAAAACAATACATTCAGGCCATCGGCCCAGCCGAGGAATCAAATACTCGGGCCAGTGCTGCAATCAATTCGTTCAATCCGACATCATGCGTCTGGTCAGCCAGCGCCACATGGCCGCGTGCTTGCGAGGGCCATCGAACAAATCAAACAAGGAGTCCATGGCGCGCGCGCGCGGCCTTGCGGGCTCGGGCCGAAAACAAAACTAGCGGCAGCGAGCGAAAACAAAACAACTCGCAGAAGATTTTCCAGCCACGGTGCAGGGCTGCCGCTGAAAACATTGAAACAAGCGCAAACACAACATCAATACCCAGCTGAGCAAATTCAAAACCCAGAACGCTGCACGAAAACAACCACTATAGCGGTTGAAGAGCCTGCGGGTGCGCTCGCTTGCGCGCCGCCAACGTGTCAATCATGGAAAACATAACAAACTCAATGTTAACTTCAAAATCCAATCGGTCACCGCTAAGGAACAACTTTCGTTTCCATGCCAACATGGCGATTTTTACATCGTTAACAATACAGACCTCCAATTCGCGAACGCACGCGCGCGCGTGCGTTGGATACCATGTGTTGCCCATCATGGATAACATGCAACACAACCGACGTAAATTTCAAAATCCAACGAGCGCGCGCGTGGGATGCCCCGTGTTGTCCATCATGGGAACATAACAAGCTCTATGTTAACTTCAAAAACCCAACCGGTCACCGCTAAGGGGTCACTTTCGTTTCCATGCCAACATGGCGACTTTTCAATTGTGGACAATACAGAACCCCCAATCGCGCGCGCGCGCGTTGGATGCCCTGTGTTGCCCATTATGGAAAACATGCAACAAAACCAACGTTAACTTCAAAATCCAAACGGTCACCGCTAATGGACCACTTTAGTTTCCAAGCCAACAGGGCGACTGTCGATTGTGGACAATACAGAACCCCAAAGCGCGCGCGTGGGATGCCGTGTATTTCATCATGGACAACATAACAAACTCCATGTTAACATCAAACCCAATCGGTCATCGCTAAGGGATCAGTTCAGTTGCCATGCCAACGTGGCGACTTTTCTGTTGTTGACAATACAGAATCCCAGCTCGCGCGCGCATGCGTTGGACGCCCTGCGTTGCCAATCATGGATAACATACAACCAAAGCGAATGTTAACTTCAAAATCCAATCGGTCACCGCTAAGGGATCACTTCAGTTTCCAGGCCAACAAGGCGACTGTTCTATTGTGGACAATGCAGAACCTCCAACGCGCGCGCGCGTGGGATGCAGCATGCCCTGCGAATTCCGTCTTGGAGAAAATAACAAATTCAGAGCTCAGGTCGCGGGAGGCGAACCCACGTCGGAATTCGATGCGGCCGACGCCCGCGGCGCCGACGCAATTTTTCACGCCCCGCGCCGCTGATCCATATCGAGTGTGCCTTGATTTTTTGTGGATCGGACTTTGGCTGTGCGGCCCGCCAGACGTGACAAAATCCATGGTGCGTCGCGCGGGAAAGCGCGGCGCGGTAGCGAACGGACATCGGAAAACCGACCGGCCGTGAAGGCATGGGCGAAGCATCAGGGCCCCTAACCACCGCGTGCCTGAGAGCGCCACAACGTGCCTGCAATGCCCACAACGTGCCCAAGAGCACCGCAAAGCGCCCCTGACCACCAATCGGCTGGCGAAGCCGGCCCCTGCAAGTGCCGCGGCGGGCCAATGCCGACCTCAACCTTGGGTTATTTTGATGCGCAATTGCCCCGGCCGGCTGGGCGCAAAACCGAATTCAAAATTCCAGGCGAGGGGGGAACCAAAATAATCGTACCAGGGTGCGTTGCAACGCCCCACGGGGCGGAAAAATGAATGAAAATGTCCGGCTTCAGAAATAATCAAAACAAAAGAGACCAGGAAAAAGATGCCGCCACGAAGGCCGCCAACAAATTCATTGGACAACGATGCCATATGGAGACATGGCCAACATGACATTGAAAACAATCAGGGCAAGAATAGAACACAATGGACAGGGCGAGTTTCGAAATCGATGAAGGCCAAAAACAAAACTGTAACCACTATCTAAAATGAGATTTCGCACAGGCCAGCGGCGAAATCAAAGAAGATTTCCATTTTGATTTCAGCCCCAGCCCGGGCCGGCCCACTTCATTGATAAAAGCTTCCCGGTAGCATGTTTATCATCATCATCATCATAATCATCCTCATCATCACCATATTCTTTTTCACCATCCTCATCAACAGCATCAGCAGCAGCAGCATCATCATCATCATCACCGTCACCATCCTCATCCTCATTACAGTCCTCCTCCTCCTCCTCATCATCAGCAGCAGCAGTATCCTCAACATCATTGTCGTCGTCATCATCAGCAACCGCATCATTATCGCCACCATCATCATCAGCATCATCATCATCATCATCACCATTAGCATATGCATTAGCACAGTCATCATCAACATCGTCATCGTCATCGTCATCATCATTCTCGTCTTCGCTACCATCGCCTTCATCATCGTCATAATCATCGTCATCATCATCAGCATCATCACCACCACCACCACCATCATCATCATCACCACCACCACCACCACCACCACCATCATCATCATCATCATCATCATCATCACCCTCCTCCCCAGTGAGGGGGGGAAGGGGAAGTGGAGGAGGATGAGGGAAAGGAGGGCCATGGGAAAGGGAGGATGATGGCGGATGGAAGGGGGGGAGGGGGGGAGGACGGGGAGCTGGAATGGGGATCAGGAGGAGGAGGAGACGTTTTGGGAGAGGTCCAAGGGAGTCAAAGATGTCCTGTCTGCTCTAATGATCCAAGTGTCTCCGAGGGGGTGATAGGGGGGGAAGAGGTCCAAGGGGGGGGGAGGAAGAGGAAGGGGAAAAGGAGGAGAGAAGGAGGAAGGAAGAGGAGGGGCTCCGCAGGCGCGAGGCGAAAACGAAACGATGCAAAAGGAGGAGTGGGAAGGCTGGAGACGAACGGAAAGAAGGGACGGAGAGAGGAAAGATAATGAAAGGATAATACCGCTCGCCGTCGCCAGAGGATGAACAACTATCTGTTGGGGTCTTCAGGGAGGGCAGACAACAACGCGTTCGGAAAGCGGCCGGGATGAGCTGGGAGGATAAACAACAACAGATAACATAAACAATGGCTCGAGAGAGAGAGAGATTCTGATAGAGAAAGAAAGAGCGAGGTGGGGGAAAACAAAAAACGGGGGGGCAACAACGACGGCACACCCCATCCAAAGAGCGGGAGGAGGATGGGCGCGGACGGGGAGACGGAGGCAGAGCAAGAGAAAATGGACGGGCGCAGGGACCCCAGCGTGGGGAAACTCAAAAGTACTGACGCCGAGTAAAATGGACCCGCGGTGACGAGGGCTCTCCAGGACGAGCAGCGGCCTTGGTACCTTGCTCCTCCTCTGACCGACGCGCGCGCGCGCCTGCGACCACGAAGTGGGCGCCCTGGTCGCGGCGTTCCCGGCGACGGCCTCCTAGACCAGGATGTCCCGCCCTCTGGCTGGGGCGGCGCCCGCGGCCGCCAGCCTCCGAGGCCCGCCCGAAGCGGGTCGCTCTGGGCGTCGGCACCGTCGCCGAGGTCGGTGGGACGGAGGGCGGAACTCGGGAGGGGAGGGGGAGGAGAGGGGGGTGATCCTTCTCCTCCCCCTCCTCCTCCTCCTCCTCCTCCCCCTCCCCCTCCTCCTCCCCCTCCCCCTCCTCCTCCTCCTCCTCCTCCTCCTCCTCCTCCTCTTCTTCTTCTGATTATTATTGATATGATTAGTGATACTATTAGTACTGGCACGTATTACGTGATTCGTTTTCGTGTCAGTGCTATTATTTGTAGTTGTGATTATTCGTCTGATACTTAGTAGTCGTATTATTAATGCGAGTATCATTACTAATGTTGTTATCACTGTTCTTAGTTGCGTTAGCAGTCGTATGACTATGGTTATTAGGCATCTCCTTCTGACTAGTCATATTTTTGTTTCTTATCATTCGTATTCGCATTATTACGTCTATTACTATTCCTCCTCCTCGCACCTCCTCCTCCTCCTCCTCTTCCTTGTTTTTCGCTGCTCGCACCTCTTCGCTCCTCGTCTCTCGCTCCTCACCCCTCGCCCCTCACACCTCCTCGTTCCTCGCTGCTCGCTCCTCCTCGCCTCCCGTTCCTCCCCCTCGTTTCTCCTCCTCCTCCTCCTCCTCCTCCTCCTCGTCGACAAAAACCGAAGCGAACGCGGTTGTCCGAACCACAGGCCACTTACGCCACCACGTGCCCAAAGGGGGGGCAGAAGCGGGTGGCGCCTCCGTATTTCATGTATGAAGCACGAACATTCGACTTTCCCTGCACGAGTCACCTCTGCAATACGAAGTCGTTCAAACAGCAGGTGCCGTTTCCTGTTGGTCTGAAAGCGCGCGGGTGTGCGCTTGAGGCCTGCCAGCACCCGCGCTCCCCAGCTGCATGGGGGCAACGGACCAGCACAGCCCTGAGAAAAGACTGGCCGAGATCTTCACCCCCCTTTCACACACCCACACACACAGACACACACACACACACACAACACACCACATACCAAATGCGAGACGCCCCCCCTTCCCCTTGGACGGCGAAGGGATGCACGGCATGCTCTCTTTCTCTCTCGCCTGCCTGCAAAACACGAGTGCAGGCCATATCATCGCGAGAAAGGCTTGGCGCGTAGACAGGCGGCGGCGGCAGCATCGAGAGAACAAACATGGGGTTTCGTGCTGGCTCATTGCTCCCTGGATATATATATATATATATATATATATATATATATATATACACACATTGGTACGACCAAGATCACACATGCGGGGCCCGACGCGCGCAACCCGCAAGACCCAGCGCCAGAGAACATCAGCCTTGTTTTTGCGGGCGGTGCGCGCATCCTCGGGCACTCGGGAACGCTGAGCCATCCTCTGGGCCCAGTCGTCAGCATGGCTGTTGCCTTCCTTCTCGCATATGGTGGAGAGCGCAGCCTGAATTCTCGCTTCCGCGCGCTGAACGATGATTCTGTGTAGCTCGGGAGCCTCTATGCCACCACGGTCTTCGATACAACTCCAGACCTGGACTCAGAGCTCGGCTCCACCAGCCATAGAAGTCTCTCCTCTGATAACCGGGATAAGATGTCAAAGGAATTCAGATCTCACGTTCACTCTGCTCAGGGAGAGAGGGGACGGGATGAGACATCGATAAAACAAATATCCGTTAAGAAATCCTACTATATCAGGAATGTGTAGGGAGGAGGCCGGCTGGCCTACGACCGACGACGCGCGACGGCCGAGGGCTGGCGCGCTCCTTTTCTCCTGCAAGCAAGCAGAAGCTTGCTTGAGTAATTAAATATAGCTGCGGAATGCGGCACAAGTTCAAGGCAGGCAGTGCACAGCATGCAAATATATTAATAAGTGATACTATTACGAGGCGGAGAGGAGCATATTTACTCCCCCCGCGGCGGGCCTCGTAGAGCCCATCCGGCCACAGCACCCCCGGCCTACACATATAGACAACCACCGGAGCCAACCCCAAAAACTTTTACGGCTCAACGGTGGCCGCCAGGGGGCCAAGGGCCGAAGAGGCCCGACGACTCCCACCATCACTTAAATGAATTCTCTCCGCTGGACCGGCTTAGCCGTCCAGAAGAGGCGATTGCCCATCCAACACGCGCACCGCGCGTGGATGGGAACTTTCTTGCATGCGCCTGCCGCGACTAAGTCACGCGGGCGGAACTCAACGCAGGTCACCCCACGGGTTCCCATCTTCCACGGGCGGCTCCGGAGGCGGCGGGTGCGACGACGCCGCACCTCCAGTATGTCCGTCTCCACCGCGAGGCGAGCGGGACCGCCCCTGATCTGCAGCACTATAGTTATTCTCCTTGTTCTTGGATGCTTTCCCTTAGACGGGAAGCGAGTGTCATGTTCAAAATTAGACAGCATCTGCCAGCAATCCAGCGCCCACCACTCCTCGTCGGACAGCCACGCGACCCGGTCTTTGTGGACGTAGTACCCGACATGAACATTGTTCACATAGCGCGGGTAGGACATGAGCGGGTCGTAGTCGTAGCCAGCACCGCCGCGGCCAGCATCCATGGCCCCATCGCGCGCGCGCCGGGGCACCGACCGATCCCAAGTGTTGGGATGCCATGATTATTCCTCTCTAGTCGTCGCGGCTGAGCCGGCGACGGAGCGCGGGGATTCGGCGGCGTCATCAGGAGCCCGAACGTCTGAGACGTCGGGTCTGAGTAGCGGAGGTGGCGGCAACGATCTGGCCTTCACCTCACCCTGTGCCCTTCTTGGTCCCACGAGGTCGGCTTGGCCGTCGTGATGTTGATTGTCGTTTTTACGATCTCGCATAAATGTTAACAAACTCCTAGCAGCGGTAGCTACTGGGATGCCATATATCCCGCATGCAGTGCGGAACGTTCCTGTGTCTATATCCTGGAACTCTGCCCCAGGATCAATATATCCGTCCTGAAGCCAAGAAATGGCTTCTTGTATCTGAGGACCGTTGCAACGGACGTCAGTCTGCACCTTCCTGCCCAAATTACGGGCCCATTCCTCAATTATGTCGTCCGTCTGAACGGCGGCGCGAATGCGGCAGTCAAGGGCATATTCATCTTTCCGTCGCATCTTAGCAACGGAGTCCGTGCTATCTCCTTCGGGGCGAATTGTTTGGCCCGGATAACTGATATAATATCCCTCCGAGATGAAGGAGCTCATGATCTCACGAACGATCGCAAGAATCCTTATGGGCCGAAGACCCAGTTGCATCTGCTGTAAGGAGGCCAACCAGTTTCCATCGACTATTTCCCTGACAAGTGTTGGGACCTCATGTTCAACTTCTCCATGCAATAGCATTATGCCGGGATCGCTCGGGCGTGTGCCTGTGTATTCTATAACATATTGAGCTGCGATCGCCCGGGCCTCTATGCCGAACAGGGTTACTTGTACCGAAGGGTCTTCGCAATGGTTGTACACGTATTCGCCGGGATGATCAAGGTCGATCGTTCTTTCGGTTGTCAGCGCAGCCTTAGGCCCGCTGATTGCCGAGAAGTCCAGTCCCATTTGCGATTGTTCGCTTGCCCTCGCGGCTTCGCCGGCGGCAGGTTAGCAATGCTGGTGCTATGAGGCGATGATCCCGACATTCGTTGATTCTTCTTGTCAGGGACTGAGATCTGCAAGTCGTCCTCGCCTGGAAATTGTTCCGCCCGACGACCGGCAACCGTCCGCGAGGGCTTTGCCCTTCAGGGTATTCTCCCACGCCTTCCACGGCGTTTTCGCTCTGCGCAGGAAGCCATGGCGCCCCGAAGTTCGTCGCTGCATCAATGGTTTGAAGCGTCGGGACGAAGACATTCGCTCTAATCATGTCGTTGTGCCATCTCCCCCAGCCCCTTAGGGGTTCGACTAAGTCGCCCCGTGCGTTTGGCCAGTCGAAGGCGGCAAGAGCTGGACAAGATATTGGGCGAGCATATTGGTCAACATTCGTCTTCCATAGCTGCGGCCACCAGGTGTTGATCGCAGGGGTCCGCCTACTCACCCTTTTGGCTGAGTATTCAAGCCATCCGATGAACCTCCTGACCAAGGGCCTCAAATGCTGAAAGACAGGGCCGTGACGCGCCGGTGGCTGAGCCATGGCGCCCTCTGGCACCCAAGCGGGGAAATTGCCCGGCAGGCTGTTGCCAAATATCTGGCCTGCTGCCGCCATTTTAGTATATTCCCCGTTCGCCCATTTTCGCTCCTGCTGATGATTACTGCTAATGTTCTTCATCACAAGTGCGGAAGCTTTCTGTTGTCTATCCCCGCGCACTATGAGCAATTGAAGACGGCCCCAGGGAAGATTGCGTTGGTTATTCACTTGTAATGCAAGACCATGCGCCTCAAGGGACCGCGGGATTATTGTTTGATTCCACGTCTGAGACAGGTAATCATGCGTGACTTTATGTTTGCATTTGATCCGACAGCTGCAGACAGGGCAATGTCCGAAGCCCGTTCGCACCCAGCGATAGCGGAAGCACAGGAACCTTCCATCGTCTTCCCAAGGGATGGACAGAACCCGTTCCTGTATTTCGGGTGACAGCTGTGGCCGCCGATTCCAAGCCAACAAAGTCTCGTCTGTGTGGATCCAAGCAATAATCGACTCAGTGTCGAAAATCACTTCGTACGAGGCCCATTCGCGATTGAAAAGTACCGACCAATGCATTTGGTCTGTTTGTCTCACGAGAGAGACGGCTTTGTCAATGTCGGTGAATTTGGGCAACTCTCGGGACACCAGGGTCCCGTCTGGGCAAACCCTAGATGAGAAGCGATCAAGCATTCGGCCGGTGAAAACAAGAACAAGCTCCCAAGACTCGCGGTGGTTGGGAAGCTTTTCCCATGGGTGGATGGTGTCGTCTGCGTGCCAAGTCCACACCGATGGCGGTTCTCCTGGCAGCGCCGCATTTCCCATGGGGAGCAAACTCCTCGCAGGGAGAGGCTCTCAATACCTCCGCTGGCTGAGCCACGGAAAGATACGAATTAGATCAGGCATGGTT